CTCCACTACTATCCCATGGAGTTTTGGTTCCTTACTGTTGCCTTTGGCTTGCACAGATGCTTAATTAATATTAATACAGTAATATCAGTGATTTAACTGCACTGCTAATACAGGATGATGGTAAAATTCAAAATGAATTGAGCTGGTTGATGACACCAACTTTACAGCATCGACACTGTTATTAATCTGAATTGAATCAACGTTGCACTGACTTGAGCTGAATAATGATATGTGACCCTGGACAACAAAACCATAAGGTCATGAGGGTCAATTTTTTAAAATTGAGATGTATACATCATCTGAAAGCTGAATAAATAAGCTTTCCATTGATGTATGGTTTGTTAGGATAGGACAATATTTGGCCAAGATACAACTATCATCTGGAATCTGAGGGTGCAAAAAAATCAAAATACTGAGATAATCGCCTTTAAAGTTGTACAAATGAAGTTCTTATCAATGCATATTACCAATCAAAAAGTACGTTTTGATATATTTACGGTAAGAAATTTACAAAATATCTTCATGGAACATGATCTTTACTCAATATCCTAATGATTTTTGGTATAAAATAAAAATCGATAATTTTGACCCATACATGTTTTTTTGGCTATTGCTACAAATATACCCCAGCGACTTAAGACTGGTTTTGTGGTCCAGGGTCACATATTGCATTCTGTGGAGCTGCTTATAGCTGAATTAAACTTGTTTCATAATTTGCAGCATTGACAGATATCGAATGGAATTGAAACAACACTGAACTAAACTGAGCTGAATAACGACACCATTTTCTTCTGTAGATCTCCTTTAAAGCTGACATTAAATTAGTTCATGATGCATTTATAACATTAACACTATTTTCTCTTTCTATTTTTAATGTGAAGCTACTTTAAAGCAATCTGTATTATATAAATATCTGAGACTTGACTTGAAATGATGAGATATTGAAGTGTGACATGATACTCTTAGAATGACTGAACTGTGAAGGGGGAATAAAGGATTTGGGAGAAGTAAAAACCACAAACAGCAGATTAAAAAGCAAAGGAGAAAAGAGTGAGAGACATGACAATGTAGAGGTCATCATGATAAGATATGGCTCTTACTTGTATAGCTCATAGTCGGTTCCGTCCAAATTGTCGAGGGCCTTCTGAGCCTGCTCCTTGACCTGGGTCAGGTACACCAAGGCTGCTGCCTTGTAGTGCTCCAGCTGAGAAGGAGCATCAGCCTGCAGGAAATGGGCCTGGGAACCTGAGAAGACACGGGAAAAGCTTCAGAAACCAAAAGGGAGGACAGTGACGTCTTTAAACTGTCAAGAAACAGGTGGTCAAATAGTCACCATTAAAAAACAAAGCATTAACAAAATCATTCGTTTTTGATAGGGATGCACCGATATGAAAATTTTGGCCGATACCGATAACCGATTATTCTTTATTTTTGAAAGCCGATAACCGATATGTTGGCCGATAAATCTATATCCAAATTGTTATATACTTTTTGAGAGCCTGATTACAAAAAAGGTCTCATCATTAAAAGCCACATCCCAAACACTTCAACATAAGCAGCCTAGTTTGAACGGTGTACGTTTTAAAAATATTTTTACTCTCCCATTACCAAATTTAGTCATAAAAAAGTCTTACAAATAAATAAAATAATGCATAAATAATGCAAACAAGTCACTGGACATCATTACACGTGTAAAGAATCAAAATGAATGCGCCATAGATCAATAAAACGGAATAGCCTCTGCACGGACAATAATTAAATGATTTTAATTACTAAACCATATTGTTGATGAAAATAATAAGAGAAAAATACAAGTGGTTGTTGTTATTAATAATATATCAATGATTTTGAAAAAGTAACAAATTAATACCACTGTTTTAAATAGCAGTCGTTGAGCTGCGCGTGCTGAAGCTGAAGAGCTGAATGAACACGGTAACCTGAAGCGTTTTGCTGGCAGCTTATTTAACTCAAGGAAATGCATCCTGGGATTAATATTAATACAACATAAACATAATATTACAACTTATATATGTACAAAATGACGCAGTTATTGCGTGCTATAGTCAGAATGTGTGATCCTGTTGTGGATGCGCTCTTCCCATAACAACGCGCTGAAACACGGCAACTAAACCCAAAGAATTCACAATGTTTTATTATAATAATGTTCTCATTAGAATGTTATATACACGACATTCCCAATCATAGTTATTAATGTTGTGCACTGCTGTTTGAGCTGCGTGCGCTGAGCTAAAGACGATCACCGGTAAACTGAAGCGCTCTTTTAACTTAACCAAACGCATTCTATATGAGATAAATCAGATATACATCAAATAAACACAATATTACAACATACAATTGCACAAAAGGCTGCAAACAAACAGCGTGCATCTAAAGTGTCTCTGAAGGAAATAATGCATTATTTATCGGCTTTAAGATATCGGCCAAATTTTCTTATCAGGCCGATACCGATAACAGAAAAAATTAGCATTTATCGGCCGATACCGATATGGTGGCCAATATATCGTGCATCCCTAGTTTTTGATTAGTTAAACATGAAGTAAATTTAAATTACTAAAGAAAAATCAGTGTTACTTACCCACAGCCAAGAGGATGGTCAGTGCAAGAGCCACGAATTTCATGGTTAAGCTCTGAAACAGAAAACATTTATTATAACGCTGTTCGACCAAGATTTACTTTGATATTCCCCTGATCCATTCCTCCTCTCCTGCTGGTTTGTGCTCTTACCTGAGTGGTGCTGCTCTGAATGTGCGAGGACGGACAGCAGAGGCAAAGGTCTTATATAGGGCAGAAACAGTACATGTGGAGTTGGAACCCTGTCCTCTTACACATCAGAGGTTCAAAGGTTAAGAGATAAGAGATGCCGTTTAGATATCTGCAGATACGTCAATGCACATTCTCTGTCAGTCTCACAAAATGGAATTACTTGTAAATATTCAATGACATTATTTCTGCCAGAGAAAATATTTTAAGTCATTTTTCAGATATTACTGAAATCTACATTAGTTAAATCTCTGCATTGAAATGCAACAGCATATCAATTTTATGAGATGTTTAACTGCATCTAAACAATAATTCTTGGGACAAATATTTATTTAGTAAATCAATATTCACTGATACAATTCAGCATTAGAAACCAGAAACTCTAAATTGTCTAATGTAAATCTAAGTGCCGAAATTCAGCAATTAAAGCAAGATAGAACAACATTTTTGGATTATATGTTGGTGCTCTGTAGGTTGCATTTATTGGTTTGTGATTAAGCAGTTTGTTATTGAATACAATGCATTTGTGTGATTACATCTCGCTGTCATAAACTGGTAATCGTGAAACTATGACAAGACTGTGAAGTTATCACAAAACATTTAGCAACGTGTAGCAAACCTTGATCTCCACCTCCTTCTGCTCCAAATCCTATTTTATCAACTGCCAACCAAACAAAGTCATAACTAGTCAGGGGTCATTGATCAACTAGTTATCTTTGTCCCTTGATTTACTCAACTGTTCACATTCTCGAGCAAAAGTCTCTTGATTGGCTTATACTGAGTAGCATTTTGACTGAAACTGAGAACATTTCAGTTTAGTATTCATAAATCAAGTACAATTATTATTTACTTAAATGTGAACAGGAAAAGAAAACATTGTCCACTAATACAGACTGTACTGGGGGTTTAAAATATGTAAGTGTACATCTTTGTGGGTGCACTTTCTTTAAGGACAAATGTTAACCCAGTCTGGAATGTATGTAGAGGCACGTATTTCTAATGAGACTATGTTGCAACATAAATTTTTTTTTTTTTTTTACTT